CCCCCCCCCCCCCCCCCCATGACCGGGGCATGGAGAGGAGGGGTCCCCAGGCACCCAAAGAGATTGATGCCCCCCCCCATTCTAGGGCAGTCTGCCCCTGCACTTTCTGCCATGCCTTGATGTAAAATGTATGTGATGAATGTGGGAGGCTGCCCATTTGTGGCCTTGATGTTCGCGGCTAATAACACGACTCCGAGCTACCTCTATACCATGTCCCATGCCTTATAGATGGTATCCTGTATTCTCCTTGCTACTCCCTCGGCCACTTGCTGAACCACACTCAGCCTCTGGCCCACTTAAGCTTTGGGTGCCACTTGGTGTGCCTTGACCCCTTGGCCTCTCACTGGACCACTCCCTTGGCCCCCCACTGGACTGCGTTCACTCACTCCAACTCCTCACTAGGCCACGCTTTACTCTCCATAGGCCTCAGGTCCCTCCTGGTGGACCTTGGCCCCAAGCCTTTCCCTTCTATGGGGTGATACACAAGGCAGTGGGGGCTGAGGCTTTACAGCACCCTCTCCTTGCCTTTCACTGGGGAGGCACAGGTGTGGCATTTCCTGTCCTGCCCCAGGCAGCCCCACCAAACCAACCAGCCCCAGTAGGGTGCAGTTTTGGGTTTTACCCAGGAACCTCCTCTATCCCCGTAGTTCCTGCCCTAACTTCCAGGTGTTACCAGAGCTGCAGTCCTCAGGCTGTGCAGTATTGTTCGTCCAGCTTCCCAGATGTAACTGCCAGCCCTGCTTCCAGGGTCTGAACTTATGCTCTGCCTGCCCAGCCCTCCTGCAATCAGGCGGCCCCCTGCAATCAGGTGACCACCTAATCAATTCTGAACTTACCTCCAGGCTGCTCTGCCGCCTGCCTGATGATCTTAAAGTGGCGGGTACAACCAGTGCACTGCCACATCCTCTAATCAATCCATTCAACACAATAGAAAAATAGCCAAATAATAAAAAAAAAAGAACTTATAATCAATATCACATCTCTATTTCTTCGGCTCCTTGAAACAAAGCAGTTGTGGTATCTTCCTGCTTTGAAAGTGTGGCCAGTTAAGCAGCTTGCCTTTATGTAATTTTCTTCTTGATAGATAAATTACTATATAACCTTTCAAGATGAAATCCATTTAAAAATGAAATGAAATCTATTGAAAAATGAGTTCTGTATTCTTATATAAGCTAGTTCTTTCTCAGTAAAAAAGGCAGGGACATCATAATTGAAGGATAATAAGTAGCACATCTCTCACTTCCAGTGCATGATGCTTTTCATCTTTGTAGCACTTCAAATGCATTAAGTAGTTGATCCTGAAATCAACTCTTTGAGGAAGGAAAATGTTATCCCTGTTTTACAGCTGGGGGACTGGACACAGTTCAGCACAGTTCAGCTTAAACATGTGGCTAAGTTTAAGCACGTGCATAGTCACATTGTAGTCTCTGATCCTGTGAACACTTACTCATATGCTTGATTTCATTATTGAGTCATCCCACTGAAATCAATAGGACAGTTGTTTCATGTTAAGCATTGGAGTAAAGGTCAATCCATAGGTAAGTGCCTGGATCAGCTGTAGTCTACAGGAGATGCCCAAGGCCACAGAAGACTAAAGGCGGGATAGATTTCAACAATTTCTCCATCTGAGTTCTTTGCTCAAATGACTTGTCTTAATGACTTAGGCTTTGGGGTTTTTGTTGTTGTTTTCTTTACATGACATAGTAAGATGTCTTATGAATTTGCCATAGAATCCCTAACATGGATCAGTCAGTTCAATACTGTACAAAATGCTCATTTGTATATATTTCTAAGGGCGTACCTGTAGACACCCATAAAACAAGCATTAAAAAATAAGCAATCCTTCTGCCACACTGCAAAAATATGAAGTTTCTCCTGATTTTATTCTTTTTGTGTGATTGGAGATGTGACAAATCCACATTCTGCTCTCTCTAATTGAGAGAGAAGTTATTGGTCTCTCTAATTGAAATGTCTTCAAAAGGGGGTGCATTGGAGTCACAGAAAGAAGAAATTTGGTTTATGGTTGGCTGTATGGAGTGATAAGAGGGAAGCAAATTTTGTAATGAAGATGAGAAATGCTGGTTGCTGAAAAACTCTCTTTTATGTTGCAGGAGAAAGAAGATCACTTTGAATCTGTTCAGCTGAAATCTTCAAGATCCCAAAATATATGACGATTTATTGCTGCCTTCAAAGAAACAAACCTGATTTCTATTTTTACAGGACCACATTTTAAACACATTCTGGCATACATCTTAGTGGTGATCTCTCTAACAAAAGTTGAGTTTAAGAGAGAAGTTGAAGATCAAAACAAAAGAGTGGGTTGCCTTATCACGTGATCGAGTACCTTGCCAAAAAGGAAAGCAGACACTTGGATTCCATACTGAAAATGAAATTTAACTCAGGAAGAGAGAGACATTCTGCCAATGACATGAGATATTCACCTGGGCACTGCTCAGGCATGTAATGTGATTTATAGGTACCTATCACTTTTTCTCACTCCTTCCACACACATCATAAGAAATTATTCTTCCGAGAGACTGGAAATCTTCTACAAAGGTTCTGCATTGTTCCTTTTGTAGCATTTCAAGTCTCTCTTAAAATGGTCAACGGTACTTGAAGGGGAAGAAACATAGGTGAGTTTTGATTCTTGGAGAGGATAATACTTTAGAAGGTCAGGGCCTTGTTACACCTTACACTGTGAGCCGCACAAATGTTGATTGGTGTTAGTGCTAGCTTGGAATTTGGAGCAGTCACACCCTTAGTCTGGAGTGACACAACTTTGAGCTGCCTAACGAGTGTTTAAAACCACTTAAGATGTTAATGTGCGGACAATCCAGGGGTTAAGAGCTCCAGGAGCTGCCCAAAATTACCGTGTAACAAGGCTCTAAGTGTTTTGCAACAGCCTCTAATGTAGCAGGCACAATTTTACATCTACAGGCTGAACCCATTTAGATGCCAATGTAATAACAGTCTTGGCAGGATTAAATTTCAGAAGCCCTGGGAGCATCTACATGAGATGTTACGCTGCTGTAGTGATGAGCTATGGCAGTATAGTTCATCTCTATGGCGATGTAGCATCGGCAGGCACAAAATGTGACGCTGATGCTACTATGCATTAGCAGCAGGGTCAGAAATGACCCATGTGGTGCTGAGACTGCGAAGTAACAGCAGTTACTGTGCAGTTATTTAGTACTTGCTAAAGTACTTGCTACAAGTATTAGATAACTGTGCAATAACAACTGTGCAGTCAGAGGCACATGTAGACGTGCCCCCTGGACCTCAATGTGAGAGCTGCTGCTGTGTGCCCAGATCCACATGGTTAGAGGCAATAGTTGATTCATAGCTTCTTTACATGTTGTCAGCACTTGAGAGTAACCAAGACCCACAACATGAATGACACTTTTCTCTACCCAGGGCACCTACTCCAGAGCATTCTCTCAGGATGCTGATTCAGCAGCAGCTCAGTATCCCATATGGACCACCAATTGTGTCCCAGCCTTCTAGGGTTCATGTAGACTGAAGGAACTGAACCTTAGTTGTAAAAGCACAAACCTTTAATAGTTGACCCAAAGGACCACACTTCTTAATTGGAATCCTATATTACTCTCACAGATCTGAGCGCTAGAAGAGCATAGTGATCCTCAGTGGGTGCATCCACACGTGTGCTTTAATGTGCAGTAGCCTATTTTACTGCACATTAAAGCGCCATGTAAAAAAAGTACTGTTATGCTAATGTGTGGTAAAATAGGCTATTGCACAGTAAGCATCACCTAAAAAGTGTGTGCTTGAGCTACTGTGGATCAGGGCAGCCTAATGCACGTTGATTTAGTACCTCACATTGGAAGTACTAAATTTAACGTGCACTAGGAAAACTGCATTAATGCACATGTAGATACGCCCAGTGGCATTAATGTGGTTTAACATTTTAAATTTGTTCCTCTTTCAATGTTTGCTTTTAAATGAGGGCACAAGATGGTGCCTGGGAAATTGAATGCTAGGTGGAGATCCTTTAAAAATCAGGCCTAGAAAATCACTGAATAATTCACCCCATCAAAAGCATGTGATCTGCATAATATCCAATCTATCAAAAACTAATTTTCTGAAATTCCTGTCCGAGTTGAACTCATGATTAATTAAAACTTGGGTCTAAAAATCTTTAAATCTGAAAATCATGCAGGAAAAAGTTGCGTAGAGCTATGAGGAGATAAGGAACCAATCTTGACTGTCCCTCTAGGCATACACGTTTGCATTATGAAACTTTGGAAAAGACACATAGGCAGAAATGGTGGTTTTATTATAAAGAATATAGCTCTGTTATTTTATATGACTGCGCTGCATCAACCCCTATGGCAACAGCCCACTTTTAAATTAAATTAAAACAGATTGTTCTGCATTCTGAATATTTTATTATACTCTAAGATGTCGAAGAAAATTTTATGAAGATTAGAGGTTTTTCTTTCTTGTTCAGGGAAATTTTACTCAATTATTTTATATATCCAATTGCAGAAACTGGGGTTTGTTCTTTTGATGGGAAATACTTTGGACACCTTAACAGGTGTTAAATACACTTTTTGTTCTTGAAACTGCACTTCATTTGCTAGAAAAGGATTTTTATGAGGTGTCGCACCATATTGGAGTATTGCTGAATGTAAATTAAATGCATTCCTTTTTGTATATTTTGTACCGTTATGCATTTATTATTGTACATTGTATTTGTTGTCATTATATCATTGACACACATCATCAGTGACATGTTTACTTAGTAAATGGCAATGGCTTTGGGATTTCAGTTCTTTGCTGGTCTTTTATGAAGATATTTCTAAAAAATTTTTTTATTCAATTAGTGTGCTGTAGCATCAAAGATTTTTATCTGACTGGCATTCATAAAGTAAAAATAATATGTGAAACTTCAGATTGGAGATCTTTAGTAGAACAGCAGCCTACACTGAGGTTTAGTGATGGATGGAGTTACAGAATTCCCACCTTCCACATAGTTCTGCCTGTTACCAATGTTTCCATCTCTCAAATGTCAAGTAGCAGCCCTTATCTGCACATAATTTCCAAGCCTCTGAGAGAGAATTGGGATTCTTCTTCTACCACTGGAGCCAGGTCTCTGAAATATCAAAATGCCTTAAATTTAAATGAACTATATTTCAGTTGGTTGATACCAAGGAAGGGTTGTTTGGGGTTTCCCTTGGAATTTATCCAATTAGCTACAAAACAGCACTCTTTGTCAGCTCCTATAGACTTTAGTATATGGCAGTTTTTTATCTGTGGTTCCAAATGATCTGTCACATTATTATACAATATTCTTTCAAGCGGTCTAAAAATACTGGTGCAGTACTATGGAAATAGACACAAACCAGTCCTACAGAACTGATTGAAGTTAAATTTAAAATAATACCATGGAATTTTCCAGCAGTAAGCAAGTTAGTTCTGATGTCTTTTAGCTGGTTTTCACTATTCCTCTTTTCCTCTCCCTGAAGATACAAGGGGCAACATGTTATATTCATTTTCCGATAAAAGGCACAGTTTGGAAGCCTTAAACAATTCATTAAGTAAACTGTTGCCTGTGACATCTTCTGTTACTTGATGCCATAAAACAATGAGAATCAGTCTGTTATGTGTTCAGTTGATTAAATGGGATACATTTTATTGCAGCATTTGCATGCTTTCCTTTTAACTTGGGAACCAAGCCACTGAATCTTTTCAGGGATTAAATACATTATAGTAGTGTCTCTGTATAAATTATTGGCAAATCAAGCATGGATATTATCATTTTTTGCCATGACAGTTTTTGCTTGGGGACGAATGTACAGAGAACTTTCTTGAAGTTGGATTTTCTAAGTAAATCAGGCTGAAATGGCGTAAATCAGGATGGCTCCATTAGACTCACGGGGAGGTACTTTGTTTTACACCGTTAGAGGATCTGGTTCTACAGGTCAAATTGTAATGTACCGTCCCCCCTGGTTCTAATTACATTTGCTGGTATTCGTGATGCATTATACACTTGATTTGGAATCTGAATTCTCAAATGTCAAGTAGAAACCATATTGTGGATCTAGGCAATTGCAGTCTATCCTAGTTAAAGGAGGATTGTTATTATTAACTATTTAAAAGGAGTCTTTGAGGTTGTGATTCTTGCAGGCGGACACTTGGGATCCGTTCGTTTGCCTGTGCTAAGAGAACTGGTGGGATCTCACAAGGGTGGGATACTTGATTATAACCATAAATGATAGCAATGGATATTGCTACCCAGGAACATTGACCAATTTCCAACAGTGGCCAGTAGCAGATGCTTTGAAGTATGATTGAAAACACTCAAAAGCATTCCTACCACTGATGTTTCTTCCTGCTAAGGGTTGCTTTAGGTCCTGAAATGTGAAGGGACAGAGCCTTTGCACTGTTGTCCTAGCTAGTGCAAGAGCGGACGATTATTTTTACTATTGATAAAATGTCAAACCTTCCGAAACTCTTTTCTTCAGTGATATTATGGAGTGGTGGGTACTACTTAACTTTGTTCTCCCCTCTTTCTACTTTCTCCTTATTTGTCAACATGACCTATGTGCATTCTTAACTTTCTTCCTTCGGAGAGTATGAAATTCATGGCATCTTGGGAAGTAGTTGTATAGGTAAGGTAGAAGAAACGTATGAAAGCTGCAACTCAGAACATGCAGACATGAGATGGCTAGAGCACCTATGACTTCATGGACACGCTGTCAGTTTGACAGTGTGATACGGCAAGGAATGGGGAAGAGTTGCAACATGCAGGATGTTCAGAAGCTACTGCCATGTTTTGGCCATACTCCTGGCTACTGCCAGGAATGGGGAAGAGTTGCAACATGCAGGATGTTCAGAAGCTACTGCCCATGTGTTGATGTAGGAAGCCATACTGGATAAGATTATTGGTCCGTTTAAAGGACTTCAAACCCAAAGGAGGGAGCATGTATGTGTTTATCTGTGTGCTTGGTGAAATCAAAACTGGGGATGAATGAATGCTGGGAGCTTTGGTTTTATGTGTAACCTCCCTACACTAGAATTCCCCAGGAACCTATTTTCAGAGGGGTCTGCCAAAGATCAGGCTGAGACACTCCCAGATCTTGTTGAATGCTGAATCCTTGTTGCACCGTGGTTCTTCTATGTTGATTATGTTGCATCTGTTCTGGTTTGTTTTGGATATTTGAACCCTTTATTTTGTCTAATAAAAGTTTGCCAGACACACAAAAGCAACTGGGTAGCATTGTACCTTTCCTTCAAGCAGTGTCATCAAGTAGGTGTTTCCTCCCCACTCTCATCCTCCTGTAACAGTTGCAGAACTGGGTCTAACCTGAGTCAGGCAGTGGTTAGAAGCCAGTAGCTACATTTATGTTTTGTGGTGGATTATCTGCAGCCTTTTCACAACTGGCTAGCTTGAGAATCTGAACCTTTGCTTCCATTCCTTTTTCAGTCCTTTGTGACAAGGTATTTAGCAGAATTTACATATTTGCTGGAATTTGAGAGGCCAGGCCATAAGAGCTTCTGTTGTGGCCTCAAACTTGCAAACTCTAGCCTGTCAACTGTGCACATTAGTGCCTGCAACACCCCTGAACCCTGCTAGCACTCTGAGGCAAAGGCAGGTTGTGCAGTGCATGCATCTCTTGATGATACAGAGCTTTTCCATCTCCCTCCCTGCTTTGTCATACTGTCTGCAGCAAACTGACAGGCAAGCAAGCCAGCAAGGGGCTGATAAAGTGTTTATCACCTCATTAGCAAAGCAATAGCTTCTTCCAATTACTTCAAACTTTTCTTAAACAGCTTACTGGGTGACCTGTTGATTAGCTCCAAACAGCCCTAAGTGATCACTGTTCTGTCTTTCTGTCCCAGTGAAATTGGAGACACACAGAGATACTTCTCAGTATTAGCTAGCATGCCACATGCATAAGGTCCCTGCTGTGGGAGAGAGGAGGGGAGAGACGGAGGGAGGGGGGGATTCCTGCTTGTCCAGCAAGCAGCTAGGGTGGGGGGTAGGGCAGGGGAAGCCAGGCAGATCCTGCTGGGGCCTGCAAGTCTCTTCTGGAGCTGCAGCCAGGGA